TGTAGTGTGTGTGTGTGTGTGTGTGTGTGTGTGTGTGTGTGTGTGTGTGTGTGTGTGTGTGTGTGTGAATGTATGTAAAAAACATATGATTTTTGAAATATATTCTCGCGATAATATATTCAATCATAAAGATTAATTGTCTATATAAAATTTTATATAAAATTCTGTTAATTCAATTATGAATCATTACCCTCATCGAATTGCAGATTCTCGAGAATTTTCGTTGTAAAAACAATTCCAAACGCGGTTTAAAAGAAGAAAGAACAAGTTTCCAAAGTATCCGATCTTTATTGAAAATTCTACAGTATTTGTGACTTTGGCTTTTGTTCTTTGTAGCCGCAGTATTGCAAAGATGTATGTTTACATGTAGATACGTTTATAAAAGCATGATTGAGACAACTCAGCGATAACTCAGTTATTATCATACCAACGCGGCTCGATGACGTTACATTTGACGGGTGGCAGGGTAATCGGCATAGTTGATGGTAGAGACGTGGGTAAAAATTCCCCAGGCCATAAGTGAAGAGCATCTACGAATAATAATCCAACCAGGACGCCGCGAAGCAGAGGCACGAGGACATTTGAGAGTCGACTCCTGCCGGCTTTCTGCGGCCAGATGAACACGAGCCGGGAATCGCCTGTAATGAGAATTGTGTTTCCATCTTTTCTTCGTGCGTTTTCATAATCTTCAAAATTCATAATCTTCAAAAAAAAAAAAATATTGATTTATGCTTTGTATGGCTGTTTATATGGCTATTTATATAGCAGATTATTTAAATGGAAACTTTCGTTGATACGAAAGATAAATTAGTTACTACGTTTCGTTTATGTATATTTATTGTGAAGGAAACCAATGTAAGGATATCGACAAACTAACTATAAATCCTTTTCTCTATTTTATTTTTATCTCATTTTGAATAGAAACAAATTTTATTTAAATTAAAAGTATTGCGATAAAAAATCTAATTTTGCACGTAGAAGAAATAGACACAGTTTTTTCATAATGTGGCTTTGAAATTTTTATACTACATTTTTATAAATTGTTTAACTTTTATACTATAAATTGTTCTGATTAATTACATTTCCTACTCACTTACATTTCCTTATTAAAAACAATTGTATATGTTGCATATTTTTTGTAATAAATAAAATATAATATGTTGCTGCTAAAGTCAGTAATTTAATAATAATGAGGTAAATTAGGATATGAAACAATATACAATGGAAATGTAGTAGCAATAAGAAAATATTTGCACTTGTATAATCTTCAATACAACTACATTCATTAATCATAATTAATTTATAAATTAATAAATGCATTAGTTTTGCATATTTTAACATAATATGTATAAAGAATTGGCTCATACATATTTAAGCCAATCTTGGCAATCTTGTTATTGTAAGTACATGTAAATATAAATGAATATATATGATTTATTATGTAACAGAACTTCTTTACAAAAACAGAAATTTGCAAGTAATCTTCTTTGTATATATTTAAGATGTACAAATAAGTTCCCTTAAGATATACAAAATTAATGCATTTAATTAATTGTGATTAATGAATGTTGCTACCGGTTGTATTGAAATATGCAATTACAATTTTTTTTTTATTGTTACTACATTTCTATTGTACATCGTTTTTTATTATACAAATTTATTCTCATTGCCAGGTAAATTGCTGACTATAATGCAACAATATATATTTTATTTATTACAAAAAATATATACGATCGTCGGCAAGAAAATATAAGAGAAGGTTCTCTCTATTTTAATACAGTTAATATCAATTTGTAGTAAAAAGTTTCAGCCACGTTGTAAAAAATGCCTGTGCCGATAAGCTCTTTTCTATATGCAAAAAGCAGTTGGATTACTTCTTAGGCAAAACATGGGATAAGACGCATTATAAATACGCACAAGGTAGACGAACTAAAGGAAATGTCAGTAAATAATTGCGTTTAATATTCTGATGAACTCGATCGACCTGTATTACGGCGAATGACTGACGAAGTGACGCGATGCGGACAGACGCCGGTCGGTGCGCCGAAGACTCCATCGCCGAAATGAGTCTTCCGCTTCCGGTAGCTAAAAACGCGGCCTCGCCTCTGTAGCGCGCGACACGCGAATTTCTCCTCCCAATTCGTGCAGACGGATCCGGTAAATGTGCTACCGGTGCTCTCCTGCAAGGAAACGCTGGTCACAGTTACCAACGAGAAGCCGTCGTCGTCGCCATCCCGGCGCGTTGACGGTTCATCCAGTTTGCTGCGTGTGAACATTAACTTTTTTAAAACGTGTGTTTTTCCATTTACGTAATTCCATTTACGGAGAAAAAAATCGCGCGGAATGCCTCGTGTAACTTGGACGAAAACAACGAACATGTTTGATACTATTAAATAACTACATATGCAACGACGGTGAAGCAACAGGTTACTTGTGTTGTGAAAACGTTACTTGTAAAATCGCGCACAAATGCGTTACGTAAGTTAGTCGCGATAACAATTGTAGCGATTGAATTCTAAGTCATTTGACATAATGTTATACTTTTGGACAAGCCGAGTAGCAATGGCATCTTGATTTGCTTGCCCGCACGTGGCGTACTCCAGATTTCAGATGTGTAACCTCTGTTCTTTCCGGCTTTCGTAACAATCAAACGATTAATAAATGCTTATATCATTCTGCATACCGGCCGAGAGAACTGCCGTGATGTTTAATTGCAAAGGACGGTTAGGACGGTAAAAAACGTTAGAGGGAAGAACTTGCCGAGATTTATCGGACTCGCGACTTAGCTTCTTTTGTTTGCCACATCTGATCTCGAACTCGATCCGTAAAAATCGATCTCCATTTAATTCGCGACAGTTTGTTTAAAATACATATATACTTTCGATAACACTTATTATTATTGTACTGATATTGTCGGCAAAAGCTATGTACACAATCATTTACTTCCGAAGCTCCGATCAACACCGTTTCCGGCGGAAACAATTCGGTATTCCCATCCTTTTACACTCCGATTCAAAAATTTCAAGTGAAAAACAACCCACGGATCGTTGACGTCCGTGCGACCAATTTCATCTTCGTATATTTCGATCGTAATCAGATTTATCAGAATGTCGACCAAAATCGGTGAGTAACCCTTTTCAATTGATTGTTAAATCACCATAATTTGATAATTGCAAAAAATAGATAAACCGCGTCTCATTTATTGGCTAGAATATTCCAAAAATGGCTTATATTTACAAATAAATTGAAGAGAAATTAATATATAAAAAAAGGAACGTTTTCCGAAACGTCTTTTTCAGTTGTTAATAAAATATTTAAGTTAATATAAGTAGATCTTTCACTACCATCGCGCATCTTCCACATCTTGTTTGCATTTATTTAAAAATATTACGTAGAACATTCCAACTGAAAGTAAGTGAAAAATGCCAACGTGCTTAATTTCTTTCTTTTTCAGCGCTCGACTCGCCGTTGGCAAACGTCACCTCCGAGATCGAGGAACGCCAATGCAATTTGCTTGGCCGTCATCGGGAGCTGAAGAACAAAGTCGCCACAATGGAACGTTCCATTCCGGCTCTGATGGCTTATAACATGTTAATGGCCGAACAAGATTGTCGCGATACACCATATGATAAAATACGAGAAATCATGAACAAGTTCTCGCCGCAGCCAGATCCTGCCGACAGACTCTTCGCCGAATTGAGGAACACGGTCGACAATCTTCATCAGGAAACGGCACAGTTGCATGTACGGCACGATTGACATTCGACGATAAAAATCCGGGTAAATCTCGCTTTTTTTAACGCGACGGTAATACCGGCATGGCTTTATCGGTCGTTACAATTTAAATATTTACATTTAAAAGTTAAACATTGCAGTGTTCTCTAAACAGATGTTTGAAACATTAAAAAAAAAATTTTGATATATAGATTATTAAAATAAAAATATTAATATAGCTATTTCGATTCGTATGTGATACGTAAAAATACGTAAAAATTATTTTTTAAAATAAAATCATTATACACATGGGTTTATGATCTAAAAATGTCACTTCTAAATCTAAAAATAATGCGAACGATGCTCTCTGACATCATCAAGATACAAAAATAATGAAATATACATTACGGTATACTCGCACATATGTTTAAAATTCTTAACAGTTCTTATCCAATCCTGCACGTTGTCATCGAGCAGTCTTTGAAAAATCGAAAATTAAAGGGTCTTGAATGTTACAGATTAATAATTCGTGTGTCGGGAATTCATCGCGAGTTCTTCAATCAACTTTCTGTTGATGCAGGACAAGATCATAGATGCGGATGTGAAACTGGAGGAAACTGGCATGGAACTGGAATCCTTGGAATTGGCTAACAAGGAGATGGAGGAGAAATTGACAGGATTACGAAATGAGATACGGAGACGCCGTACACCCAGCCTACATTCCATCCACTCTGAAGATCTGCTGTGTCTGAAGAAGATTCGTCAGCTCGCTGAACAAGAACTGAAGCTGAAGAATTGCATCGGAGAACTGGAAAGCAAAGAAATCATGTACAGGCGACAAATGGGCAAGTTGCTGTCTTGCAAGAAATTTCAACGCGATAGCGGAAAAATGACGGAACGCGCGCAGGAGTCGAAAGAAAATGACAGGAAGTTATTCAGTTCGCTGCAAGATTATACACGTAACAAATACATAACGAAGAAAAAATCTAATCTTGAAGATAAAAAACGAGTGAGTAAAATAAGGATACAAATAATATTTATTTTTTCTTAATTCTATGCATATCTTCTATTTTAGAAGACTTGTTGCTCGTGTGCAGTGTTATCGTCTTACGAAGAGACGTCGAAAGGACCATTTAAAGCATGCTGCGTCTCACTGGATCATCGCATGTTGCGCTCGGCTACAGACAAATCGCGAAATTGCGAGATTTGTTGCCAACAGATCTCTTCCACTGTATTCAAATCTAATCATCCATGTTTGGAGGAACCTCCATGCGACTCTCTGTCTAGCATTGACTCGAAAACAGGCATGTATAGAGATTAATGTGATTAATTTGTTTTTTCTCTCAAATTTTACTGGGGGGATATTCTATGTATCGAGAATTTCCGAAAGCATAAATATCTTTTTTAGTATTAAAATTAAATTCAAAATTATAAACGTAAATATTTTTAGGTGTACCACGACTGCTCAAACAATCACCTCAACCTTGTGATCCCAGTGAAACGTGCAACAAATGCATGACTTCCGCCGCGTGCAAGCAAATTAATACTTGCAAGTATGTTTGCGAAGAGAAGTACGGGTGTAAATCATCACTGTGTGATTGCAGCGTTGAACCGTTGGACGAGATTTATCAATCAATGCCTTCCGAGCTACTGCATTCAGAAATAGATAACAGCAACAGCGACGACGAGGAATTTTGCGAGTGTTGCTCCTGTGAAACCAGCGACAGTTGATCGTAGTAACAGAATTAATATTCAAACAAATTTATCAGTCAGTGAAGTTGATTTGCTTTAATTATTTTATACGGTGCAAAAAGTCCTTTATTTAACACACGTACATAAATTTTATAAAAAAATTGATACTTGGAAAATGGTAACGATAATTTGCTTATAAGTAAATTTAACGTTTATAAAATAATATATTATATAGTGATATATATATATATATATATATGTGTAGAGAAATAATAACAAAAAT